TATTTTAGTATACATAATTATTAAATTTGTTTTAATTACCATACACTATACATTTGACTGATTAACTAATTCAATACGTTTTTAAAATTAAGATATTTTTCCCAAGAATCAATGACAGGTAAATTATCCAGGTTCCAGCTTATTGACCACAGAGATGCACCTGTAACGAGATGTTGAAGAAAATCTAGATTGTTGAGATTTGCGTCCGAAAAACAGTATATTTCTTGGAATTGGAAATAAATGTGTTTAGTTATTTTAATACATTTATTGTAACGAAAAAAATAAATACAAATACAGGAGGCAAGTAATTAATGTTGGAAGATTAATGTTTTTTTTTTCAGGACTCAAGAGAACAAGAAATTATTCAAATTTCTTACTTTTTGCTCCCAGGACTTTAATCAAGCTGATGAAGAGTACAAGAACAAAATTTATACGTTATGGCTGATATCAAAACACTTTCTTCATGGGATTAGAAATTAATGTGTTAGTACACTATGGTATTAAATGTGTTTTATCGAACAATTTTATCTTTTAATTTACGACCAAAAGAAGATAAGATTTCATTCACGTATTTTATATTTTTTTCCCACCAAACAATAGCTGTTACACTAATGGGCTATCATTTCATCCAAGTATTTCAGGGGTAATATGAGCACTTAATTTGGGAAAAGGGAATCTACGCTCCCGATATATAAAAAAAATAACATACACCCAAAAAAGTTATATAGGTTTATGAAGCTGTTATTTTTGCCTGTTATTTAAGCGGTAATTATCTGGTTCAAACTTTTTATTTTATTTTTACGCCTCAAAATCCAAACAATTAATAGTGAAAGAATTACATGGGTGAGGTGAGGCGAGGCGGGTGAGAGTCATGCACTTGGGTATGTTGACTGTTATTAGTCATGGTGCTTCTCAATTGTGTTTTGTTTTTTCATTTTACTTAAGGAGGAAAAAATTTCAAGTTGATGAGGAAACTCCACAAAAGAAGGATCAGTGGTCAGGATCAGAGTTAAGTTCTCTTACAGTCACGGACAATGATCTGAGACCAACTGTGTTAAGTCTTACGTTGAACTGTTATCCGTCCAGATAGCTGCAGGTTCTGTTGCCCTCACTGATGGCCAGCCTCGCAGCATGACACTCCTGTAGCGTTTATTTACTGAACAGCAATCATTGGACACAGTGAGAATGGGTCCCATAGGCCTGACAACCCATTAAGGACAGTGTGCAGCAACTGAATATTAGTTTTTATTTCGGTACACAAGGAGGTACTACTGACAGTTGGGTGGATAGGGGCAGCCGCTATCACGAACAAGAAACGAATAACTATATCCACTCGGCCACCGCATCCGTCTGTACATGGTGAACAGTAATTGTAGGCCATCACTCGGAGAAAAAACTCCTTTGTTGACTTTAATCTTTAATACTTGGCTCTGCTCCGTACAGTACCTGAAGACATCCCACAGTTCAGAAGCATTGAACACTTTAGAAAGATTACAGACTATGAATGCATATTTCAAAGTGGATTTCTCATATATAGAAACTCTCAAAGACCAACATCTACGACATTAAGGTTGTTTTAAGTGTAATAGTAGTAATAAGTTAAATTTGAAGGTTCCGTGGGTGGGCGGTACGAGCAACAGCCCTCAGTGTGGTGCTCAGTTGTAATAAAGGGAGAGTAAAGGCACATCTTTATCAGACTAGTGAATGTAATTATCGCTGCTAAAAGCAAGTGAGGTGATGATCTATGATTCAATTACCTGCATTTTAATATTATGAAGTAACTCACTTTGCAAGGAAAGGCTGCAAGTGGAGGAAAACATATAGTACTTATTTGGAAATTGGTTATCAGACACTGGTTATATTAACACACACACGCTCCATTTCCTCGCCGAAAATTACATCATAAAGCTATAACATTTAATGAAACTAAAACCTTTTAGTAACATACAATTACACATCATATATTAAGGAATATAAAAATTATATACTGTAAGTTTACATTTGGGGAGGCGACCGGGTGGATGCAACACACACAGTCTGTTCTAACAGTAGTTGTTCAGCCTCCAGTCCACCCAGCTGTAAATGGGTACCTAACTTTACAACTGAGGAAGTGAAGGAGGTCGAGTGCAGTGCCGGCCATGCTGCCTCCTTGTGTATTGAAGGTTTAAGATACAGTATATTTTCTCTCACTCGTCAGAATTTCACGAAGGACCCACTAGGAAAGGGGAAGACTACAGACGTTTTACAGTGACACGTTTTACAGTGACACGTCTTTCTCATATGAATAACCATTAACTTTCAATACAATTCATGACGATAAAATTTCATGAAGAGTGCGCAAAGATTACTGTCCATTATTAATTTCCCCAAGTGCACGGTGTTAATTATTCTCCAAGGTTAATCCATCACAGGCTACATTAGAGACCTCGTTTCTAAATATTAATCCCAAGTCTTGACCGATTCTGTATTATTTCTACAATAAGCAATATTGTACATTACTCACACAATATCATGTTAATTCATTTACGATTCTTTATAAATACGACGATTGTCCTAAACACCTCTTAACTTTGTTTCTAAACCCATATAGTCCTGTATAAACACCTCTTACACTCATATCCAGGCGAAAATTATACTTTATGTTATTTTAATGTATATTTATGTAAATTCAAATGATTTTTTTTATATAAATAATTCAAGAAATTTTTTATAAGACGCGTAGGTTAGGTTAGGTTCTGAATGTATCTATTTCAGAGTCCTCATGATTTAATAAGTACATTAAAATAATCACAGTCCACACATTTGGCAATGACTCTTCCCTCACTTCACTGTCGCCCTTGTGTTCCTTAACTTCGTTCACCTCACACAAAGAAACTCAAGAGAAATTAGAATCTTGATTTTTTCCTAAGTACAAGTTGATGGAGTGAATGGTGACGTGGGGAGAGGTGACTCAATAATCGTGTCAGGATATGATGATATATTATGTAAGGTATTGATAAATAAGATGACCTAATTATGTTTGTGATTTAAGAATTTTCACACACACACACACACACACACACACACACACACACACACACACACACACACACACACACACACACACACACTAGTAAAAAACGTATGAACAAAGAAACACATACACAAATAAACAAACACAGACAAAAACACACATACACATACACAGGCTTCACTAATTACAGTCTAGTGAGAATTTTCGACTAAACTTGCCTTGAGTGGTTAAGCAAGTAATTACGTCAGTTCCTCGGTCCTATCAACAAGGTCATTATGCAGTTAACTTTTTACGCAACTCTTAGTCCCTTTGACCCGTCCCTGCTAAGTTTTTAATGCAATTTCTTTTAGTTTTGAAAAGTCGTTTTAAACGTAAGATGATTAAGATATTTCACCCACACAAGACGACCAATGGCAGGTGTCTTGTAGGAAGCCTTGACGCATAATAATGATACTAATAATAATAATAATACTAATAATAATAATAATAATAATACTAATAATACTAATACTAATAATAATAATAACAACAACAACAACACCTCACACAACAGGGCCACTACACATATGACGCACCAACACATATTATACACAAGTCCCTAATACTTCACCTCGCGAGGCTCCTATAAGACGCTTAAAACCCAAAATATAATAACTAAAATATGCTAATTCATAAGTGTGAAGTATATGGTTTGTTAGCTGATATTACCAGACGTTCGAATAAATTATATATTTTCAGTGAAAGTATTCCAATTAATCAATTTTAGAATGAAATGAAGAGACTTTAAAATACGCATTTCTGCGTATGTGTGTCTGAACCCACGACTTACCACCTGCAGCGTCATCACGGCTCAGGTAGAAACGTCATAAGTGATAGGAGCAAATTGTAGGACCATTACGACACACACACACACACACACACACACACACACACACACACACACACACACACACACACACACACACACACCAAGATTATGTAAATGGACGGCCAGATTGTTCTGTCACCAGCGCTGCTTAGGCCTAAAGCAGATAAGAGGTGACAAGGACCGGACACTATAACCAATCAATTTGGGTTTATGAGCTTAGTAAGGCGTACCCGCTAAGACCACCGCCTCCCTCCACACATTCAAATACACTTATGATAATTTTCTCCCAGTGACGGTAGAATCGACACTGTAGTTTTGATAAAATTGCCCTCGTTAAGCAAGCCAGTTGTGGGATAGTGGTGGTGGTGAGGCTGCATCTGCTGTCTGGCGGAATATGAGTGTTTTTCCTAAGTGTTACTTGTCAGTTGTTGAAGGGAAACTTAACATTCACTAAGTTTTTTTTGCATTCTGTTCTTGCAAAATAGTTCACCACAAGTCTGGTTTAAGGGGGGGGGGGAGGATGTCTGAGTCTGTCTGTCTTTATGTAATTGTAATATTTTCTCTCCGTATTAGTTGATCATGATAGGAACTCTGACTGACCACCCACAGGCCAGTCTTACTCACCTGTCACAATTAACCAAAAGACCTTGTTGTAATTTTTAAACTATATGTATAACATTAAATATGTTAAAGTCCTTTTCATTATTCAATCAGTAGAACTATGGTTTTCCTGAAGATTTTTCTCTTTTATATACACGTGTGTAATGTTGTGGTCTTTGTTTCTTCAATAAATTCATCATTATGCGTTTCTTTTTTGTGTGTTTATGTTCCGCAGTGAGTGTATCCACGAGCGCCCACACTGACAATACCACTACAGTGTCACCTAATACTAACCAACCAAACGCTACAATAGGTTTCAATAATCCTCTTTATCTACTGCCTGCATACATATAGTGTTGGCACACACACACACACACACACACACACACACACACACACACACACACACACACACACACACACACACACACACACACACACACACACACACACACACACACACACACACACACACACACACACACACACACACACACACACTGATACAGTAAGACTTACCAACAACGAGCATCTCTCCGGTGAGGTACTCGGTGTGGAAGGACGGGGAGTCGGCCGACACCTCACACTTGTACTTGCCGGAGGAGCGGAGGCTGACCGTCCTGAGGGTGACCTTACGCGCATCGCTCAGTGCCGTCTGTAAGAGACACAACCATGGTTAATATTATATTGATAAATGTGGTAAAATAATTATATTACTGCTAGCATAATATTAATATCCATCATAATAGTAAACAATGAAATAATAGCAGAAAAAAAAGAAATAATAATAATAATAATAATAATAATAATAATAATAATAAAAATAAAAATAAAATTGACAATATTAAACAGCTAACATGTTCATTATATATTATCAAGACAAGCATGACAACGTAGACATTAGAAGACCCCATAGGTGTAGTAATACGTGTTGAAGGTGACCAACACGGTAAGGTACAACACAGTAGGTCAATACAACCAACATTATAGAGAATACAACACAGTATGGTCTGCCGCGAGATCTTGAATCCTTAAAAGTGATCACCGTAGACTGTAATGACGTACACCCTCCCACCTTTCACCTGCTATAGTCATCGTTGACAATCCTCGTCTCCAAGAGTTGAGAAGTTAGGAAGTACAATGTTTGCTCAGTATCGTCAAGGTTGCATCTTCGACGCTACGGTCCTCTTCGTCTTGGTAGTACATGACATCCGTGAACATAACCAGGCCATTCCACAGCAGCTTTCATACATGAGTCATAAATTGACAAAAATAAAGAGACCTTCCCTGAATCATAGTCAAAGTCTTGTTTGAACATTCATATCTTGTAGGTGTACGGAATGATTGCTATCCATCTTGTTTTATGGAGTGTTTCTTGCTTCCGAAAGACGATCCTTTTGGATGGCTTCACTCCAAGGACGATCAAAGCTAACTTACCACACTCCCAAGTTGTTCAGTCTTGGCATCAATACCTTGGTGTGAGGAGACAGCAAATTCAGAAGGAAGGCTTTGACCTCTTCACTTTCTTCCGTCAGCAATGTACTGGAAAGTGAGGGGTGTGGAATGGTGCCTTTTTCGTCTTGGACCAATTCACTTTGATGCTTCAGAACATCGTCCACTCGGGGGACGTGTCCTTGCCAAACAGTTTCCCTCGCACGCTATTGACGACCAACTCAGTAAGTGGCCGCAACATGCCAAGTACAGCAAATCCTTTTTGAGTTGCTGCTCAAGCCGTATCAATGCTTCCTGGATCCTACTTGTGTTGGAGGACGATGTGTGTGTCTGCCTGGATTATACACGACTTCGGTAATAAAGAATTACTCATTAAGAAGTATAGGTTGTGATATGTTTTTGTCCCCGTTATGGTGAAAGTATTGTATTACATTTAGCAAGTAGCTTTGGCACAGATTTATCGCGCACAGGAATAAGAGATGACCACTAGACTAAATTATGTCTGCCTGCTACTCGACTTAACGCACTTGGTTGAATAATGGTTTTGGAGCAATATGTTCAAAGAGTTACTCTGGAGAGTTGATTTGTGTAATACAAGACTTTTCATTAGAGCGTTATACTGACCCAATAAGGCTCCACACCCGACCTGACGTTGTAGTGGTCAACCATCACTTTGGTGTAATTCTTGTCAACAATAAAGAGGGTTCTATTTTTTTTAGTCAGGGATTAATTATTAGTAACATGAAGGGTAACCATTAGTGGTGGGCGGGCGTTAAAGAAGAATATGGTCACCTTTGTGTTTTAGTTGGCAATGTAGAGTACGTGGTGATGAAGCCCTGTGTGTTCACGTAGTAATAAACACTGTACGTGGTGATGAAGCCCTGTGTGTTCACGTAGTAATAAACACTGTACGTGGTGATGAAGCCCTGTGTGTTCACGTAGTAATAAACACTGTACGTGGAGATGAAGTCCTGTGTGTTCACGTAGTAATAAACACTGTACGTGGAGATGAAGTCCTGTGTGTTCACGTAGTAATAAACACAGTACGTGGAGGTGAAGCCCTGTGTGTTCACGTAGTAATAAACACAGTACGTGGTGATGAAGCCCTGTGTGTTCACGTAGTAATAAACACAGTACACACGAGTAATAAACACAGTACGTGGAGGTGAAGCCCTGTGTGTTCACGTAGTAATAAACACTGTACGTGGAGATGAAGTCCTGTGTGTTCACGTAGTAATAAACACTGTACGTGGAGATGAAGCCCTGTGTGTTCACGTAGTAATAAACACTGTACGTGGAGATGAAGTCCTGTGTGTTCACGTAGTAATAAACACTGTACGTGGTGATGAAGCCCTGTGTGTTCACGTAGTAATAAACACTGTACGTGGTGATGAAGCCCTGTGTGTTCACGTAGTAATAAACACTGTACGTGGAGGTGAAGCCCTGTGTGTTCACGTAGTAATAAACACAGTACGTGGAGATGAAGCCCTGTGTGTTCACGTAGTAATAAACACTGTACGCCCTGTGTGTTCACGTAGTAATAAACACTGTACGTGGTGATGAAGCCCTGTGTGTTCACGTAGTAATAAACACTGTACGTGGTGATGAAGCCCTGTGTGTTCACGTAGTAATAAACAGTACGTGGTGATGAACACAGTACGTGGTGATGAAGCCCTGTGTGTTCACGTAGTAATAAACACAGTACGTGGTGATGAAGCCCTGTGTGTTCACGTAGTAATAAACAGTACGTGGAGATGAAGCCTTGTGTGTTCACGTAGTAATAAACACAGTACGTGGTGATGAAGCCCTGTGTGTTCGTAGTAATAAAGTACCCTGTGTGTTCACGTAGTAATAAACACAGTACGTGGTGATGAAGCCCTGTGTGTTCACGTAGTAATAAACACAGCCCTGTGTGTTCACGTAGTAATAAACACTGTACGTGGTGATGAAGCCTGTGTGTTCACGTAATTAAACACAGTACGTGGTGATGAAGCCCTGTGTGTTCACGTAGTAATAAACACAGTACGTGGAGGTGAAGCCCTGTGTGTTCACGTAGTAATAAACACAGTACGTGGTGATGAAGCCCTGTGTGTTCACGTAGTAATAAACACTGTACGTGGTGATGAAGCCCTGTGTGTTCACGTAGTAATAAACACAGTACGTGGAGGTGAAGCCCTGTGTGTTCACGTAGTAATAAACACAGTACGTGGAGATGAAGCCCTGTGTGTCCAGGCAAAAGTGAACACTCTCCCTCTCACATTATTTCTGGCTTTGTGCACAAGATAACACTGGTCAGGAACTTTCTTTCCCTGCTCGGTGGGGGACACAAGTTCGCCTTCCTCTCAGCATATGTAATTGTACCGAGACTCTCAATTATGGTTTATTATTGTAAAAAAAAAAAAGAGACAAAAGAAAAATACAGAATCGACCATTACTAACTTGAACTAATGACTCAGTGGACTTTACAGTTTTGTAGTTTGCTGAATTTATATTATGGTAAATGATGTAAATTTATGAGAAATTTCATTTTTTTTACGAGCCAAACACTAGACATTGTGTTTGTGTTTTTTTATTCAATAAGTTTTAGGAGATATTTATGATTTTTTTATCTCTTTTAATTTTTGTCCATTTTATAGACACTAAAACAATAAAGAATAAAAATATGACGTTTACCTTCAATTAGGGAATAAGTAAACAACGTAAATGTCAATCTTTAGTCAACACGATTTCTTTTCGGGGCTTTAAAAGTAGAGCGAGTTGGGAGAAAAAATATCAGAGTTTATTGTTATCTTTATGGGACTTTTTGTCGAGAGAGAGAGAGAGAGAGAGAGAGAGAGAGAGAGAGAGAGAGAGAGAGAGAGAGAGAGAGAGAGATTGTTCTGTTTACCATTATTAAATAAAAAACAACAACGAAATAATTCACAAGATCTCTATAGGTTTTTTGTTCTGCACGGGGACAGATTCGACAGGGAGACTTAACCAGACAGATCTGCTTTAATCAACGAAACACAGTATCAAGAGTGAGATTACGATATTGTATTCCAGTTATTCATTTGTTTGGTATCCGGTTAAGTGTTGTTATAAAGTCTTCTATCTACTTCACAAATTTAATCCTAGAGAAAAAAAAAAATGATGTACCAGTCCTATTCCACCTTGCGTGTGATAGGTGGCAACAGGTTCAAGTGTCTGATGTCGTAATGTTGTGAGCCGAGTTGTATATGTTTGTTAGACCAGAATAAACATTTACCGTACGATTGACGAACTCCCCATAGCCTTGATTTTTCCTTTTTTTTCGTATTTTCTTTTTCACATCGGCACAATCGTCTAGCCTTCCCCAATCGAATATTTAGGTATCTTTTTTTTTAGCGAGTTTGCACGCCGGGCGCCTATTATGTATCGGCCGTGATGTATTAAGAACCTGTAATACACAATAAGTTAATGCTGATGCTGCAGGTTGTCGTCGTAGTCGCTGTCAGAATATCAATATTTATGTTCCGCCTTCCTCGATATTTGCCGTAAAGAAAACAAAAATTAGCGTTGAAATGAAAACTACTCTTATAAATCCACAATACTTAGCCCGGTATATCCCTCAGGCTCAAGTATGGGAAGAAAACTTGTCTGACTCATCTTAACATTCGTACATGTCCCAGTCCTATTTTTTCCTCTGTCAAGTCTCAGATACCAACCATCATTGACATATGTTTTTCCACATACTCTCCTGAAAGAAGTTATTCATGTGTGTATTTTTTCCTCATTCTACCCTGACGAAGGTAATCACGCGTGCCTGATCTCGTCGTCCCGTGCAGAAGGCGGCATCCTGCTGCGACACAGTAACCCACGAGAAGCTCCCCTCCTTGTCTCTCTAGCAAGCGGGGATCAACTATGTCTTATAACAAGATATAGACATTCAAGGTCATTTAAAATTCCTAGGTTACAGGTTCATCAACATCGCTTACAGTTACCTGTATGTGACAACAGGTAACAATACTTTGCTAAAGTAACATTTTACCGAGGGCAATTACCCTAGGGAGTTGAGGTAAACATTAGCGAGAAAGACGTATGTTTATTTACGATTTCATTGAAAGCTTAACAAAATTACATCTACTTTTATTGTAATCAAAGTCGTATCCAATAACAGTATTGTTATATTGGTAATCATAACAGTAGTTGCAAAATTAGTATAAGAGATGCGGTGGTTGAATG